CATCCGAGTCCTGGTTGAGGTGATTCCCACCCACCCCTATCAGTCCACCCACCGTCAATCTGTCCAAGTGGTGACCCCTTAGCGTAGTCTCCCCCTGTGTGTGACCCCCGTATTGCGGTGACGCCCTCCCTGCCAGCCTGGAAGGGGACCGTGAGGAGCTGCTCCTAGCCCCCTGCCTGTCCGGGGAGACTGACCCTTTCCTAAGTCCTACGTACTGTTCCCCGCAAACCCCTTCCCCAATGGGAGCCTCGAGCCTGGGTTGATGCCCCAGTGCCAGTAAGCAGGTGACCCACCGTGTTGGTGGCCGACTCACCTGTAGCTGAAACAGCACCGTCCTTCATCGATCCGGTCCTTGCAGCCCTCCCGGCGTCATTCCGGCCAACCGCAGAGTCCACTGCCAAGGAACCTGCCTTCCCCTTGGTAGCCACCTTGCCCACCATGGGAACCGAACGAGAGGCACCGGCCGTAGTCCTGCATTCGCTGGCCGAACGTTCTAAAGTGCCCACAGCCTGTTCGGAAGATATCCAGTGTTCCTGTTCGCGGCCCAAATGTTCAGCAGCTCCCTGTTCGCGGCCCGAATGGTCGTCTGTATCCTGTTCATGACCCGAACGTTCAGAAGTTGTTTGTTCACGTCAAGAATCTTCACCGGTTTCCACACGTTCAGTGGCTCTGCCGGTTACCTGTTCGTGGCCCGAACGGCCAGCCGCGCTTGACTGCACCGATTTGCGGCCTGAACATCCTTGCCGTGCGGCCACACAACAGCGCCGTCCTCGCGGTGCGGCCATCGTGGGACTCCGGCCAGCAGCAGTCCGACTACCGGGCTGCTCGCTGGGTCTCAAACGCTGCAGGCCGACTTCCTTGGGACACAGAGGAAGGCTCGGCCGGGCGCAAAGCATCTCCTATATGTCCCTGAAGTCGCTCCACTACCCTCTCCAGCACAGCATTACAGACTACAGCCAACAGCTCTTCCATCTTCAAACAGCACTTGTACCTGCAAGACAAAAACAGAGACACCACACCGACCTGCCCCAACAACAGGTAAGTGAGGATTAAGTAAGACGGCCCATAATCTAAAATGGCCCCCTATATATGTTCCCCTTACCCAAAAGCCCACCCCCAATATCCACATAGCCAATCCACACATACCCTTATTCTATGCCTGTCTCCTAGCAATGTCAAGGTCCAGTCCCCTTAGCTGCGCTGCTCCATCGGCTACAGTGATTCCAATAGCTTTTAGCGGTTCTGCTGCTGACATATTTATATATACTATAAACAATGTAGTTGCAAAAGAAAAAAGAGAGGGGGTGTACCAGCGCTAAATATTCCCCAACCAGTGAACTGTGTTCCAAATAACTTAAGTAGCTGCTATCACACCAAATTCTTATCTTACAAGAATAGGAACCCAAAAAACTTTTGTGGTGTAGCGCTATATTTAAATAGAAGGGTAGTGATAAAGACTAGGTATATATCAATACTACCTTGAAATTCCTTATGTCTTTATATTCACATAAGAGTAAAAATTCTACAAGACATAAAAAACAGACAAACCAAACATAGTGCAAACTGTATAATAAAGTCCGTTATAGAGAATTAGGAAGGGAAAATTTCCCACTCACAATTTTAGGAGCTAATATGAAATAGCTCAATATCTGCGCTCTTGGGGTCCGTAAAGGCGACCCTCACCCTTCTTGTGTATAGATCTCCTTGATTTCCTATAGAAGTAGAAACCGTATATGGTGCAGTATCGTAATAATTTTCAATGTGAGATAAATGTAATACTCACAAAATTAGAGCCATCCAGATCGGCTCTAATCCACACACTTGTGTAGTTGAGGACTACACACCTTCTTTGTGAAAAATGAATAAAAAGTAGCAGGGAAATGCCAATATATAGTATAAAAGATAAATAATTTTATTATAACGGTAATTGTATAAAAATATATATATATATATATATATATATAAAACAATAAAAAACAATATCAAATTGGCATAAAATCCAAAAGTCCAAAGTCTCACAGTCTCTCCAGTAGTTGGGAGAATACGTTTATTTATGGCACTCATGGCTGGGGAGAAAGCTTGGTTACCTATGGTCGTTACATTGACGATATTTTCTTTGTATGGAAAGGAGAAGAAAAAGATCTTATTGAATTTTTAAATTTTTTAAATGAGAATACCTGGGGTATAACGCTCAGTAGCAATTGGAGCAAGACGGAAATAATTTTCTTAGATTTAGTGATATACATTGAAGAAAACAAGATTAAAACTAGAAACTATTTTAAGACAGTAGAAGCTAATAGCTACATAGAGAGAGAAAGTTGCCACTACTCTCCGTGGCTTGAGAATGCCCCCAGAGGACAGTTTTTACGTATTAGGCGTAATTGTACGGATCCAACTGTATTTGAGACCCAATCTATTAAAATTAAAGAAGATTTTATAGAGAAAGGATATGAAGAGTTAAAATTAGAAATGGCCAGGAAAGAAGTAAGAATGATAGAAAGAGAGAAACTTTTGAAATATAAGGATAAAAGGGAAAATACATTTATGGAACTCCCTTTTATATGCAACTTCAGCACAGATAACAAAAAAGTAAGAAAAATAATCTCTAAATTCTGGCCAATTTTATTACAAGATCCAGGTGTAAAACCTTTTCTTCCAGAAAGACCTAAATTTATACACAGAGGGGTTGACAATTTACGCCATTCTTTGACTTCAAGCTTTTTAAAGGAAAAGAAAAGTACGAATACTTTTTTAAATTCGGATAAGGGATTTTTTGGGTGTGGCCAATGCTTAGCGTGCAAAAGGTCAAATAATAAAAAAAGACATATAAAGCTTTTTAAAGATAAAGATGGTAAAGAATATCAAATTAAAGATTTTCTGAGTTGCCACTCAAAAAACCTCATTTACTTAATGATCTGCCCTTGTGGTCTATGTTATATAGGGAAAACCACCAGACCCCTACATATCAGAATTGAAGAACATAGTCGTAATATTTTAAAAGGTTTTGAAAAACATAGCGTCTCTTTACACTACAAAATCGCACATAAATGCGACATGAAAGACACTACGTTTTTAGGAATTATAAAAGTCAAAAAGGATTGGAGGGGAGGCAACTTTGATAGCAAAATGAGTAAAATAGAAATGGAGTGGATCTTTAAATTAAATACTTTAATCCCGAATGGTCTAAATGCAGACTTCGAGATGTGCCATTTTTTAAAATAAATGCAAAATTATTTTATGGTTGCACTCATACCTCCCTTTATTGAATTATCACTTTTTTATTACTATGTGAGCATTGACTGAATTATGTTTCAACTTTTATAATATCTGGAATTAGACATTTATAAGGTGTTTTAATTGTATAACCACGTATTCATTTATTAATACCCATTATCTCTTAAGAATTCATCTTTTTAATAATGACATAAGATCACAATATGCCTGTAAAATGGTCATTTTATATTAATACACTTATACAAGAAATAGGAATAGAAGGAAAAAAACACTACAGAATGAAATTTAATTATTAAGGGTTTGGATGTACCAATATAAGGCTTGTATATGTTAGACAAAGAAAGCTTGCCAATTCCACAGATATGTTAAATTCATTTGAACTTATATTTCCCTTCAAAAAACCGCCGACCCGGAAATCCTGGGGAAATAAATGGTGAACCGCATGGTGGAACGCACAGTGAACCGCATGGTGGAACGCAAGGAAGTGACGTATCGGCGAAACCGGAAGTGACGCAACGGAACAGAAAACCCGGAAATGAATAGAAAAAAGGCTTGAAACGCAGGGCGTCACCGTTTCTATGGTGATTGCCCGCGAAAATACAAGCCTGGACACTAATTATCTCACCCCTGAGAGGGGTACATATAGCAGGGAGAATCCATGGGAAGTTTGAATCACCACATCCAGCTGAGGAAGCCTGTAGGGCGAAACGCGTACTGGAGAGACTGTGAGACTTTGGACTTTTGGATTTTATGCCAATTTGATATTGTTTTTTTATTGTTTTTTATATATATATATATATATATTTTTTTATACAATTACCGTTATAATAAAATTATTTATCTTTTATACTATATATTGGCATTTCCCTGCTACTTTTTATTCATTTTTCACAAAGAAGGTGTGTAGTCCTCAACTACACAAGTGTGTGGATTAGAGCCGATCTGGATGGCTCTAATTTTGTGAGTATTACATTTTATATTTATCTCACATTGATAATTATTACGATACTGCACCATATACGGTTTCTACTTCTATAGGAAATCAAGGAGATCTATACACAAGAAGGGTGAGGGTCGCCTTTACGGACCCCAAGAGCACAGATATTGAGCTATTTCATATTAGCTCCTAAAATTGTGAGTGGGAAATTTTCCCTTCCTAATTCTCTATAACGGACTTTATTATACAGTTTGCACTATGTTTGGTTTGTCTGTTTTTTATGTCTTGTAGAATTTATACTCTTATGTGAATATAAAGACATAAGGAATTTCAAGGTAGTATTGATATATACCTAGTCTTTATCACTACCCTTCTATTTAAATATAGCGCTACACCACAAAAGTTTTTTGGATATTTATATATACACTTCCGGTGCGGCATCGCTGCTGGTAGGCACGTGCCTGCTTTGGCAAGAGCACCCCTTGCTCTGTGCACCCCTCTGCCACCTTTCATCTGGCATGAATTGCCCCTTCCTCCTGGTTAGCATGCCAAATAATTAGCCACTGCACTCCCCATTCCAATGGTATTGAATTATGGCAGCGAAAATTAACATTTGATGCTGTCAATTGGTAAATTATATTAAAACAAATTACATACATAACCTTGAGAGATTCAAGTACTTATCATTACTCAAAATTTTAAAATGTTGGATCTGTCTTGTGTCTTATATATATTTAAACATACAATAAAATAACTAAGGGTGGTTGGATCCACAACATTTTTTTCTAAAGAGATAATTTAAGACTTTACAGTTCACTTTGTTATTTGCATTTACAGTTTTGAGTCATATTGGCATAATTCTACTATGAGTTATAGTGTATTAAATTTAAACAGTTTTCTTTTTTTAATTTTCATCTACATTTATTATTTATAAAAGGTACACAAGTGCAGGGTAGCACTAGAATATGATATAGAACATAGAAACATAGAATGTGACGGCAGATAAGAACCATTCAGCCCATCTAGTCTGCCCAATTTTCTAAATACTTTTATTAGTTCCTGGCCTTATCTTATAGTTAGGATACCCTTATGCCTATCCCACTCATGCTTAAACTCCTTTACTGTGTTAACCTCTACCACTTCAGCTGGAAGGCTATTCCATGCATCCAATACCCTCTCAGTAAAGTAATACTTCCTGATATTATTTTTAAACCTTTGCCCCTCTAATTTAAGACTATGTCCTCTTGTTGTGGTAGTTTTTCTTCTTTTAACTATTGTCTCCTCCTTTACTGTGTTGATTCCTTTTATGTATTTAAATGTTTCTATCATATCCCCGTCTCGTCTTTCCTCCTAGCTATACATGTTAAGTTCCTTTAACCTTTCCTTGTAAGTTTTATCCTGCAATCCATGAACCAGTTTATT